CCTAGGCAAATATACCTGTAATGTATCCACTAAGCAACTATTGACCTACTAATAAAGACCTTTAATTCTCAGATAAATGATTATTGTAACACAAAATACTCCTATAGTATTTTAAGTTTAATGTTCTGTTCTACTGTACTTGTTGTAGTAGTGTTAGTAAGTTTTTAGACTTGTTGCAACCTCACAACCACACTTAGGCACATGCTAGTCACTCCTCAGATAATCTAGTTGATCAGGCTACATCTTCCCAGGGTTGACCATATGTCTCTAAGTCTACTTGTGTTGTCCAACAATCGTAATACTTTTGTTCTGTCCTAGTGACACTGATTATTGTATGAATGCAGGCATGTATACTTGGTTAAATATTTTATTATTTAAAAGTATAAACTGTTTATCAGAGTATTTTAAATCCCGCTTGTGTTTATAGTTCGTATATCTTTTATGGGTTGATACACTCGATTCACTATAAACAATGCTCTGATACCAATCTGTCACACCCCTAAAACCGATGAACGGTGGAAACGTTCTGGGGTGGAGGACGTCATGTACAGTATCACAACAATGCAAAGTAGTAAACAAGCAATAACATCATCCATTGCAATAATAGTATAGTTTCATACAAGTGTGTTCTGTCAAGTTATATAGACACCAAAAATTATATACATCAAAATAAAAGAGGATTCTTGAACTAGCTCCTTCTTCTCACAACCTGGCACCTGTACCTGTCTACTGACGACCTGAGAATACAAGTTATTTTGAAAGCGAGTATCAGCTTTAAAGCTGGTGAGATCATAAGTATATTAGTGTCTGTGTTTGTATGAAAGCATTTGTAAGATGTATTGTGTATGTTTGTAAAAGTTTTGTATTTGATTGAACTCTCCTAGAAAACCCTATGTTTTCTACAAAAAGTAGCATGCCACCAAGGCATCTAGTATTTGTATGTGTGTCTCTTGTAAAACTGTGTATTTTCCCAAATCTAACTATCATTACCCAAAAATATAGTTTTTTTGCATTATTGTTTATTGTGTGAATATCACAAAGTAAAAAGTAAAGGGAAAATGTTATAGTACTGTAATGTAGTAATTAGTAACTACTGTTGTACTAACTACCTTAAACCAAATGTAAATTTTAAGGTAACATGTGATTGGCCTGTATCTTGCTACTGACTTAGCTGAAATACGACAATGTAAGATGCCGTGAAAATGATATTTGGCACCCGTAGATTTGCAAGTCCCACTGTAGCGAGCAACAAGATGTAGGATAGTCAATCTAGTATAGATCTATATGCAAACTCAATAGGCTCCCCAATGAAGGAGATTCTGATACAAAAACAGTCATGGCAGGTAGTGCCATGCCCTGCTTAATGGCTCACATAAATGTGGTTAATGTATATGCAATGTGATTTGTGTACTAGTTGTATTGTGTGTTCTTTCTCTGTCTAGCCTGTATGTTTGTTTCTCATCATAGTGTCTATAGTTTGTTTCTCATCACTCTGTTTCATGTTTGATTCTCATCATAGTATGTATTGACTCATGTATGAACTGACTCATTGTATGTTTCATTGTTCTAGTAATAGTATCTTCCTAAACTACCCCTATGGTAGTTTACTAGTTAAGTATGAACATGTTTGTATGCCCTTGCTACCCAAGGGCATGGAATTGGATGAATGAAATAACCTTTTATATCTATATATACATAATATATAACTAGGATTCAAACGACCTTTGGACAACTAACCTTGATACCCTAAGACCACATCAAACAAGAACAGGAAGCAGGGTAGACTAGCAGTTCTAAGTCCTTTCAATCCTACTTTTATAACTATATTTATACAGATGCACAGAATATAAGTTTAAAAGAGTTTTAAGTAAAAGTATTTGACAATTAAAGGAGTTTGTAAGATAGTTTGAGGTAAAACAGTTTGATAAATAGTTTGGAAAGTAAGAAAACCATTTGCTTGGTAGTCATTAATCACATGTGATTGATATAATAACTATAACTGTTCAACTTGTATTCCCCCCCCCCCCCCCATAAAAGCATTTAAAAACATTTCAAAGGTTCATTTAGGGGTATGAACTCACCTGTAGTGAGTGGTTCTGATGACAATGTTGGATCAGTTGCTAAGTATTAAGTGGTGACTTGAGTACACACGTGAATCCTATTTAGCATATATTGGCACATATATGAATATAATTAGTGTTATGAACAACTAATTTATGAATTGGGACCACCTTAGGGACTAGTAAACACTTATATTGAAGTGTTACAACCATATATGATTGTATGAAGGGTTATAAGGCTATCAAAGAAGGTGTATGGCCAAAATACACACTATATGTGTGTGTGTGCGGCCAAGTGTGCTGCCAGCACGCGTGTGCGGCCAAGTGTGCTGCCAGAAGCGTGTGCTGACAGAAAACTTGGTGTTCTTGGTGTTCTTGGTGAAAGATGTTACCTTTCCGGATGATACTCGAGAGGATTTTCAGGTTCTTGCTTTGTAGAAGTGTAAGAAATGATCAAAATGACCAAGGATAGTATATATAGGAGGGTGAGTGCAGCTGGAGGTGTGTGTGGTTGGCCTGTGTGCGGCTGGCTGGCCGCACACACCAGGTTTGGTGTGTTTGGCCTGTTTTTCCAATGCTACACCCAAATCTAACCCATCCTCCGACACGTAACTCAAATATACTAAGCTTTAAGCACTCTTTTAGCCCCAAAACTTCATTATAAAATAGCAAAACGAAGCTAACTTTAATTAGATTGAAGAATGAAATCTAGAAATTTCGGGTTGTCACAGACTGGAATTGCAATTATAAGATAATTGAATTTTGGGTTGTGGATCCCTTAGAAGGGGATGGACGAAATCAAGAGGGAAGCCCACATTGAATTCGTCGTAGGCCTTGATTCTGGAAGGGTCTTTAGACTGCTTAAGGCCTAAGCAATCCAATTAGGGTTTTAACTGAACCCTAGTAGCTCACCTATATAAGGAACCCTTGGCTTGCATTTTTTGGCTACCACAACCCTAAGAAGAGTTCATAGATCTGAAATTCACCTCCCCTCTCTCTCTTGCATTCTCCAATTGCTTTGGTGTTTGTGATCTATTATAGGCACAACATTTGAGGTGCTAAGATTCTCAAAAGCTTAAGATCTTCAAGCAATAGTCAAGGTAACATTCTTACTAGTTTATTTATGTTGATTTTAACTTTTGTTGTATGCTAGATTAGGGTTTTCAAGTTTTGGACAATTATTTCATGTACAAATAGAAAAACTAGATCCAAGCATTAGGGTTTGCATGAACACCATAAGAATGTTGTTTTTGTCATAACCCATCAAAAACATCATTGTAACACATTAAAGTTTATGTATTTTTCCGATTTGATCACTAAAGTAATTTTTGTGCACAATAGACCATTAAACTCATATTTACCTATCAATTAAACAATTCATCTCAATTTTAAAAGGTTTACCGGTTATCATGTCTATATTATTCACTTGAAGGTCAATCAGTCCAACAACCTTATTAATTGAAACCCAACTTTGGACCATTATTCACTTGTTTCTTACCCATTCGTGTAAACTCAAATTTTTCTTCCTTAGACTATTTCCATCTTCAAGAATAATGTTATCCAGATTTTTTATTACAAGGAATCAGTTCCAAGTTACTCATATCCTGGTTCAAGATGTTGTGAATATATGTGATTTCGATGTTCCAGCTAAGGAACAAACCTGTTGGAAACTGACTAATCATGGGAGGCATTTTTGGAATTCTCGAAACAATATGGTAAGCCCCGATCATGCTACATTTGTTAAAGCAAGAAATTTTAGGGTTTTAATTTTGTATTTCACTATCAAAAACCTTTGTATTTTGGGAAAAAAATCCTAACTGTATATTTCGTTGATATTGTCTACTGATTTTGTTCTGCTTTCTGGTAGTTGTTAATGATTACATACACTTTTTTTTAATTATGTTACATGTTGCTGATTCCGTAAGCATTTTTGATTAATTGAATATGTTACATCTTTGTGAAATCATATGCATTATCGTAGTAGTTAAGAGTGCAAAAGTGCATTTGGTGATTAGATTTGATTTTGATTCTATTGGTTGAAGTTGTCTTAATGTGGATTGCTTACAGACTAGGCTGGAGAAATATGGGTATTTTGAATGGAAATATGAAGAACTGGAAGAAGGGTACCATAAAAACAATGTTTATTCTCTAAAGCATAAACTGGATGCTAAAGAGGATCTTTCTATGATCAACAACTTGAGGACAAGGATGGTTGAATTGGAGTTTCTCTTAGCTAAGGAGAAGAGTATGGTGGAAATAGTGAGAATGAATGTTTCTATAATGGGAAAAGTGCATGTTTTTATATATTACTTTGAAGTACATGTTTTTATATTCAAAACATTAGTACATAGTGGACTATGTGTTAATACACAATGTTTGTAAAGTAAAATAGTATGTGCATCAAATGCTTAAAATAAATGATAATTGTGGACCACTTTTACTTACTTCAAAATACTTTGGTCCATATTGCACATCCGGGACCATGTTAATCACTCACATGCATGCAAATATTACTATTATTTCATTCAGAATATTATCCAATCAAATTTCATAAATAGGCAACTTACTATTATAAAGACCAAAAAACAATTTTACTATCATCCTAATTAACAAACATAAATATGCAACCTACTTTCATAAATACCAAACAACAATTTTACTATCATTGTAATTAACAAACATAAATAGGCAACCTATTTTCATAAAGACCAAACAACAATTTTACCATCATTTATAATTAACAAACATAAATCGAAACAACAATTTTACCATTATCCTAATTAACAAACATAAATCCAAACAACAATCCAAACTATACTAATCAATTACAAGAGCTTTTCCCTTAGAATTTCTTGGAGCATTATCACCAATTTCAACTTCAAGATTCTTTATGAGTTTCTTTCCCTTATCCTCTTCAAAATCTCAAAATTTTGTCTTACTCTAATCTTCTCCTGAAATTGGAAATTAACAACACCATCCTCAACATGGACATTAGCAACACCATCTTTACCTTTAGGTTGAGTAAGTTGCACATCACCAAACTCCTTTTCTATTTCTGCACCACTAGATTAAACAACATTTAGGATAAGTTGCACATCATTTTGAGTAATTTCCACCTTAACTGGAGTGAGTTCCACCTCCTCTTGTAGTTGACCTTCATTTCCTTTGACCTACATATCATCATTATTTAATGTTAGTGGCAAATCTGATGTAACTACATTAAAAGATTTCAAATGGTATTACATGTCTTGCATCTTGGTTTACACCAACTCTTTTTTTCTTTCTCCTCAGATTTAACTTTTGGGGTCTTCCTCCCTCTGGAAAAGTAGCATTCTTGTGACCTATCTCCTTGCAAATACTACACTTCACTTTTTTTCAAGCCTTAGAGACCTTCTGGCATGCTTGCTTTTCTCTACTAGCTCTAATCTTGTTAGTAGCAGTCCTACCAAGTATCCTTCTATTAATAGGAGGCAATGTATAATATTACATTTCAAGTATTTTCCCTTCTTGGCCTTAACTTAAAATTCTTGCATTTTGGTCCTTAGCCGAGTATGTTGGGCGTACGCTAGGAGTACACTGGGCGTACGCTAGGAGTACGCTGGGCTTACTGGGTTGAAACTTAGTCGCAGAGGCAACCTACGTATGTTGTACGTGCATGGAGTACGTAAGGCGTACGACTATATGGGGCAAACCCTAATTTTTAGGGTTTGTGCTCTATTTAAACACCTTAAGTTACTCTTGCACCTTCTTATAACCAGCCTCCACCTTCCCAAACCCTAAGAACAAAACCCTAATTACCATTTGAGTGTTTTGAGATTGGAAGTGATCTTTGAGAGTGTTTTTGGTGATCGTGAAGGAAGAAGAACTCTTGGAAGTTGCATTGGTGTGGTTGGAGCTTGTGTATCCAGAATCATTACCATCTTGGAAAGCTTTTGGAGGTATATAGCTCTTAACTTGATGGTTCAACATGATAGATCTAGTTAGGGCTTGTTTTGTGCATTTTATGGTCCCTTGAAGTCATGCTGGCTACTCCATAAGCTAAGGATGGTAGATCTTAGCATTTTTGAGGTTCCTTATACATAATAATGCAATCTTGATGTGCTATATTGGACCATGCATGAGTTAGGGTTCTTATTGGTCAAATTAAGTATTTGGTCCCATTAAGACATGCAAAAGAGTAAAGTTGCCAACTTTACGTGTTAAGACTTCATTTAGGATCAAATCTGAGAATTAGACTTAGTGACTTAACTTATTAAGCACTTAATGGTGAGTTTGGACTGTTGTGGTGTATGCCAGGCGTAAGTCTGAGTATGCAGGGTGTATGCAGCAGTTGTTGACTTTCGTTGACTTTTGTGATTTGGGCCATATTTTGACTATTAGGTTTTTGGGCCTTGTTGGGCCACTGATCTTTCTGACTTTGGGCCATTGTTAGGCTATGAGCCTTCTTCGATTTGGGCTCATAATGGGCTTTAGGTATCATTTAGGAATTTGGGTCATATTAAGCTTTTGGTGCCATTCGGATGGGCCTTGGTGTTACACTAGTAGCATTTCATTGGCTCAAGTACTTGCTCAAGTCCAGCTTAATTTGTGGCCAACTGGGAGATGCTTCTTGATTTAGCTACAAATTCATTGTACTTTGATCCGACCTCATATTTATTAAAATGGTACTCTACTTCACCGTGTCAGGTAACAAAAGGAAACACATTCATTTTGATTTTTTTTAATCAGAAACGAAAGTAATTTAAAGTTCATGATGATTACAATTTGTTGATTACAACGTATCAACAGTAAATTAATATGCTAAATGAAAACACTATAAATTGATAATATATATATATATATATATATATATATATATATATATATATATATATATATATATATATATATAGGTTCATTTAAAACCATTCTAATTTTGTGAGACCGTGAGACCAAATCTAAAAATAATTTTAAAATGCAAAATAAATAGAAAAATCCAAAAATTATTTTTTTAAATATTATTTTCGGAACTTGAATTAACTAAAAAAAATGAAAAATAAATAAATAAATAAATAAAATCCCGTTTTTTTTAAAAATACGTAAAATATGCTAATAAAATATTACACTAACATATTCTAAAAAATAATTTTAAAATGCAAAATAAATGGAAAAATCTAAAAATTCTTTTTTTAAATATTATTTTCGGAACTTGAATTAACTAAAAAAAATAAAAAATAAATCCCATTTTTTTTTAAAAATACGTGAAATATTCTAATAGAATATTACACTGTACATATTCTAAAAAATAATTTTAAAATGCAAAATAAATGGAAAAATCTAAAAAAAAATTTAAATATTATTTTGGGAACTTGAATTAACTAAAAAAAATCCTGTTTTTTTTTTTAAAAAAAATACGTAAAATATTCTAATAGAATATTACACTGTACATATTCTAAAAAATAATTTTAAAATGCAAAATAAATGGAAAAATCCAAAAATTCTTTTTTTAAATATTATTTTCGTAACTTGAATTAACTAAAAAAAATTAAACAAAAATAAAAAAGAAATAAAAAAAAAATACGTCTCACGGTCTCACAAAATATAGGTTGTCTCAAATGAACCTAACCATATATATATATATATATATATATATATATATATATATATATATATATATATATATATATATATATAAGTTTCAAATATTTTCTCAGCCAGATACAACAAATTACGATTGGAATGTTCATATATTCCAAGAGCTCTGATACCAAGGCCAGGGTTGGTATTTGGGAATAAACCAGGTAAGGTTGTGCTCTGATACCTAGTGTAAATAAACAACTTGTTGATGCTGTAGCAAAATCAGGAAAAAAAAAAAAAAAACAGAGTATGAAACAAAGGAGAAAGAAAACAGGGGAGCTTTTGGGGGCAAAATTTTCTACTGTGTTTATTCAAAGTTTTCCACCTGATCTGAATGGTCGAATAAAGGATTAATACAAAGAAAGCTACAAACCTGTAAACAAAGCAGTAAGACTTTGTTGGAACATGTTGTCCTAAGGTCGCCATAGAATGTCGATAAAAGATTTTGAATCATATTTTATCGTAAACGGCGGTCTATAATCGAGTTCATCATCCCAAATTTCTGAGGTATCTGTTGCTTGCATCTCACCACCTTTGCTTTTCCTAGGAACAAGCTCAGCTCCAACATAACTTTCTCTGTATGTGGAAACTGAAATCATATTGTAAGATGAATTTGAAAATGCGGTGTGTCTCAATGAACCAAAGGAAACATATCCTACATATGTCTTTGTTCCCTCATACTCAGGCTCTGTTGCTTCATTAGGCTCATGCATTATACGCCCAAATACAGAATCTTCATCTACCTCCTGCTTCATAATTATATTAATATCCGGTCCTTTTATTTTGGTGACAAGGCATACTAAGAACCCGCAAAAGTTGTACAAATCATCAGGAAGATGTAGTGTAAGTGTTGTCCCCCTAAACAGCCTACCCACAAACACCTTTGGAATCTGATGTTGAAGACTGATATTGATAAAATGATCTTCAATAGCATTTCCCTGCCATGGAATACACATGCATTATTATTCTTATGTTTTGGGTCTATATGATAAAGAATAATGATTGAAACTGCAAAGGTATGTACAGCCAAACCTGGAGCATGGAGTCTAGTAATAAGTCACCATCACAGAGTTTGTTCTCCCCCTTAAGTGAGACATGCCACAACCATTTGCAATCTGAAATAAGTATAATACTTTCAAGTGATGTACAACCATCTGCTATAACAACAGCTATACTTGATGGCAGCTTTGACAATTCTACAAGTCCTTTGCAATAAGACACATTGAGCAATTTGAGCCGAGGAAGTTGAAAGAGACTAAAATTTAAATGTGAAAAACTATTTTCGCTTAGATTAAGTTCTTGCAAGTTGGGTAACTCACAAACAGCAGAGCTAATTTCTTCATCTCCCAAATTACAGTAGCTAAGATTCAAATTTCTCAAGTCCTTGGGAAAAAACGTCAACCCTATGTGTTTCATGTTGTTGTCACGTAAACAAGGCTTCATGTTGTTGTGAGGTAAAGAAGGCTCCTCTACACAACATTCTACACCAGGAAGATTGCTGCAACCACACCTCCAACAAATAACAAAAAATAAGTTTGGACAAGATTCTATGTAGGATGCAACTTCATTCCCACTGTCATCCAAATGAAGAAGTGGTAAATTCTCCATGTTCGGTTGGATCTCTGAGATCTTAAAAAGTTCAGGGCAGTCAAAGAATGTAAGGGTCTCGAGTTTCTTTACTCGGGTAATTGGTGGAAACATCTTAAGTCTCCAACAACTTCCTACAGATAAGAAAACAAGCCTCTCCAAACATCCCATCGATTGATGAATCTCTTCTAAATATGAACATCCAGCAAGCTTGAATGTTTCAAGATTTGGAAGTCCCTCAAAATCTGGTGTCATGATTAGGTTATCTAAATCCCAAAGTTCAATTGTCTTCAAATTTGGCAGCAACTGTTGCATACAAGTGGAAACAGATCAAAAATTAGGTACACACACACACACACACACACACACACACACATATATATATATATATATATATATATATATATATATATATAGAGAGAGAGAGAGAGAGCATAGAATGCGTCTCAGTTGCACACTATTTAATAAAATTAGACAAAAAGAACATCCGTAGATGGAAATCATTTTAGGTGTTCGTTTAATTACAATTTTAAAATCACTTAACAAAAAAAAATAATATAAGATTTTTTGATGCATATCAATGTTTTATATTGGTTACTAAACACCAAAAAAATAGATTTAGATTAAAACCTTACCCAGACAATGAGATGCTTTTTATTTTATTTTTAAAAAAAAAAAGAACAGCAAGATTTTTTGTGTTTATGTTAAGCAAAAGGGTATCTGCATGGAGGATGAGCTTTACGTAAATACAACGGGTTACACTGACTAATGTGTCAATATCATATCAAACAAGTTATATTTCACCAAGTTTATCGATAGTAACACAAAGTAGATTTACAAATTAAAGGCTCATGCTTTTAATACTATAACTAGTTGAAAAAATATAACTGAAGTTGCTTAATGACACCAACAATTAGTCAGGCTGAACATTCATCATCCACTTCGTTTTCATCTCTTAATTAGATAGAGAATAAGAATTACCTTATAACCCTCCCAAAGTTGTTTCTGCAAGCTGTTATATAATACTAGATGACGAAGTGTTCTTTGTGGAAAGTTGCTAAGCAATGGACTTGCAAGATCACCTTCCCATTCAATCCACCTAAGGTTCTTCGTGTTTGCAACAATCGGAGGAAGATGTTTATACCTTTGTAACTGACCCTTAGTACCGAATTCAAGTCTTATTGCTTCAATCATGTCTAGTTCCTGTGATAGAGGAACAAAATTGTGTCAGGGTTGGGTTACAAGTGTTTGTTTATACATGCATAATATATCATTAAAAACTAGCTTAACCATTACCGTTGTTGCATCCATAGAGCATATTTTCCAAACATCTTCCCTCTTCCAAACTCTACTATGCTTTTCAGGATTGTTAGGGTTTTCCCCTCTAACAATGTAGTGTCCCATTTCTTGCACCAGATCATGCATATCAAACCTTTCATTCGAAATGGTTATGAGAGCCTTTTGTATCAACACCTTCACTCCTATAACAGGATGAAAACCACAAGCATCAAGGCTCTTCATTGCACCATCTTCGGGATACCCCCTAAAAAAACATGCAATATCTAGGAACAGCTCTTTCTCAATTGGTTTAAGTCCATCGAAGCTGATTTTTAGCTTTCCAACAATATCAGTATCTGGGATCTCCTTCAGTCTCACTAATGTACTCTTCCACTCATTAATGTCTTTGTCACACAGAAATGAACCTAAAACTGTAAGTGCTAATGGAAGCCCACCAGCATAAGACACCACCTTTCTTGAAAGATGCTCATAATCTACTACTGGTCTGTTATCCCGGGGTGCATGCTTGCGAAAGAGCTTAATGGCCTCATCACCGCTTAACAAGCTAATATTGTGTATGACATTTACTTTGTGGGCAGTTAATAAATGCTTATCTCGGGTTGTGATTATTATTCGGCTTCCTTCACCAAACCAATCATGTGATCCAGCTAATGCTTTCAGTTGGTCAAGGTTATCGACATCATCCAAAACAATCAAGACCTTTCTATGGCGAAACCTATTATTTATCAAGCATCTTCCTCCTCCAACTCTGTTTACTTCCATTTCTGAAAGAACTTTTTCTTTCAATTTTCCCAAACCATATCTGCCTGATTCCTCTCGAATATTTTCAACAAAGCAGCAACCATCAAACTTGCTACAAATTTCATCATAAATAGAATATGCAAGAGTAGTCTTACCACCACCCCCAACACCCCATATTCCAACCATTCGAACACCACCTGACCCAATTTCTAACTCCAATTTCAAATCTTGCAAGCGAGCTGCCATTCCGATCAGGTTCTCATCTAAACTTGAAGTTACTGGCTGCAACCTCTGTGAAATTTCCAATACAATTTGTTTGATGCCTTTTGCTTCATGCCTACACATTGGATATACAAGCATAATTAACATATGATCACACTCACAAAAGATCATGTTCCATGAAAAAAATAAATTTCACACAGAGTCCTAATTACCCTTTATATTTCCCATCCAAAGAAAATTTGTAAAGTCAATATCACAAGTAGTTTGTAACAATTTTCTTGGGATAACTTTTAACTTGCCCAATAACATCTACTGAAAGTTTATACAAGTTTATATTCAGCTCTGATCAAGTGATGCAGTCAAAGCCTCACTGTTTATAAAGGTGATCAGCTTCATCAAGAATAATTACAACACTTGTACAAAAAGCTTATAAGGTACAAATATAAAAAAAATGCGTTGTAGAGCACACGTATCTTAAGCATAATGATGCAAAAACACAGAAGAAATTACCCGTTCGCAATGTGTTGGGGTTCCCATCCAGAAATGTTACTTGCATCCACAAGTGCTTTTCTCCAAGATTCAACCTTGGTCTTCTTCTCCAACTCATGTTTGGCAAATGCTTCTCCGTATTTCCGTTTTTGTTTTCGTACTTCAGAGGGATCCACGTCATAAAATATAGGCATAACAACTTGGCCTTTCGTATCCCTACATTTCATAATATGTGCAAGTTCATCCAGACACCAGGACGAATCGCCATAGTTTTTTGAAAATACGATGACGGCTATCTGTGATTCTTCAATAGCCTTCATAAGAGATGGGCGGATCGTTTCGCCTCGGGGAAGTGTTTCGTCATCCTTGTAAGTGTAGATACCTTCTTGTTCAAGAGCAGAGTAGAGATGACCCACAAAAGTATTTCGAGTGTCTTCTCCTCTAAAGCTAAGAAAAACATCGTACTTCCATGACTGAGAAGAAAAGACCAGGGCAGAAGGAGGAGATGATGATGATGATGATGCCATCGATGTGTTAATTTTTTGGGATAGAATGTAAGTGGTTTGAGCACCTCAATGAAAATAACTTTGTACAGAGAGATATGAGTTGCCAATAAAACCTAATATCATGTAGGAAAAAATCGTCAGAACTCATAATTGAACATATTACCATGTAAAAGAACTTATAACTAGTCCTTACATTTTCGTTTTCATTTTTAGGTCATAAAAACTCCATTGAAAGTATAATACAAGTTCCAATTCTAAAGATAGCCATGAATTGACTTAGGTAATGTGGGTTAGATTTTCGGTTTTTCCACAATCATATATACCAACTAAAGATCACTCTATATTCTAAATTGAGATTTTTCTTAAAAGAAGTGGAGGAAATATGCTTGCAAAACCAAACTTTAGCAAACTCCCTTTCTGAATAATAGTAATGAAGTACATTTTTATGCTTATATATTGATTTCTTCACTATTATTTGTAAATATTATACCAAATTCATGTGCTCACTATTTTTGTTTTTCCATTAATATTATATATGTAAATATTTGTTTGAATTTAATTTTATTATTTGAACTTTTTTAAAATTATGTTCAATTTAAGTTACTAATCATGTTATTTAAAAAAAAAAAAAAATTTAATGTGAAAATATACCGTTTTAATTTATAAAGGTTATTAGATAAATGGTCATTTGTTATTTGTTAAATTTAAACATGAGGGTAAAATAGTCATTTATTTAAATTCAAACAATGCTTCTCATGAATCAGATATTATCATCAAGTCACATGTTGGTTCAATTAAATAGCAATATCTACACAAGGTTCGCTTCAATATAAAAATTTTGGTCATGTAAGAATTTATATAGTGAGATAAATTCACATTTCCCACCATGATTAACCGCTTACATCCCAATGTTTTACATCAAATGTCAATAGGTTTAAAAGTAGGGAAACCTGCCTCAAGGAGAACCGAGGCGTAAGCCTCAAGGAGAAATAATAAAATAATTATAAAAATCCCTATTCTATTCTAATAAATTAATAAGTTTATTCTCCTATTGACAAGTGTCACAATATTAAACATTCTCATTAATATTATATGTTATCTATCATGCCACATGTAAACCTATTAATTATCCATTTCAAATTTCAAATTTTAAATTTTAAATTCCCACTTTAATTACATTAAATTAATAATTGATTTTTCATTTTAAATTTCACACTCTGATTACATTAAATTAATAAAATTGGAATAAAAAATAAAATAAAATTAATATATATTATAAGGTGATACATTTTTATATATTTATTTAAATCAACGATTACAATTTTATATAACTAAAAAAATATCTCTTAATTAATAATTTATTTGAAATAATTGATTAATAATTTTGAGTTTTTCTTATGAAAGTTTAATTAATTTTATAACCGTGGTTCTCACAGGTTATAAACTAGTATTATGATAAACCCGATAGAAAACAATACAAAATTCCATATCGAGCTTAGAAATCGATAATTAATGCCAATTTCACTTAATTCTAAAATATTATAATCTTAATTAAAAGATAATACTATTTTAAGTTTTTAACACATAGAAGCAGATTAATAAGTAGCAAAAAAGTAGCACTCACTCTGACCACTAGACAGTAACAATAATATTTTAAAGTTTTAACAGATTATACAAAATAGTGGTAGTATGAAAAAAAAATCATAAATATAGCAAACAACATATAAATGAAGAGTGCTTTTGCCTAGAGTATCTCAGTTAATAATTTGTTTTTATTGCACTCAAAGTTCAAATCCCAATGATTCCCTTCTATTGTGTAAAGAAAGTTGACAGCTTTGGTACAAACCAATAATATAAGTCCATTCCTGTATCATTGGATAAACATAATACACACACAGTACACACCATGATTCAATTGAAATCGTCTTACATAGTTTCTTAGTTTAACAGACTATTGGTGCCTAGATTTCATTCTCTTTGGATCACAAAAGAAATGTTCACATTTATAATTTTGATGTCAACAATTGTCTTAGTTAGTAGTATAATAGGACATATATAGCCTTAAAGATTTCTTCACTATGTCATTATATTATAATTTTCACAATCATACCATCTACTAAAATTCACACTCATAATCATCATTCCTGTATCATTGGATAAACATACTTTTCACAATGCTTATGTTTACAAACTTTTGCTTTCTTATGAACACCTATAACTTGTATCCGATAACTTGAAGTTAAATGGAAGTATTGCAGATGATCCTACTTGCTTCAGCCTCCCAAAACAATTGATAATCAGTAAATGACTAGTATCTTGATCTAATTATAAAGTTATGTGCTAATTACGAATTTCCCAAGTGTTTGGTGCTTAAATCTAGTAATACACGAATTGAAATAGTGCCAAGCATAACTTGGATTTGCTCAACAAACAAAGGCACAACCCACCAACTCCCTGTTCGACTTTATTTTTGTATCCACAACACATACGCACATCATTAGACTCATTCTACTCCAAATTCCATTCGTCTATAGCATTCACAACAGCATACTAACTTCACAAATTGTTAATTTGATCATCTAACTACGGTAATTCAAAAACTTCACTACTTCGACTAAACTAGGTCAAAATTCGATTCTCACATTCTGATCGACATATTTGAATTCACTGATAAAGCTTACTCAATAACTTATATAAAACTTCATTAACTCTTCCATTTATTTCTTGGTAATTTCTAGCTCATCAATTTACCAGTTTGAGGAATGTACCTCAAATTCACAGCAACACCAAACTTTACCAGACACGCCTTTCTGAGCTGTTTTCTTTGCACGCTTATACTTCGATTTCCATAGATTTTTTATTTCAATGTGGATCGATTTGAGAAGTTGGTTACCTTTCCTCAACAGTTGAATCTTTTCTATGAGTCTTAGGATTGATGAACGAGGGAGTGATATTATAAGAAAGTAACTAAAATCTCATTATATATTTACTCAAGTTTAGAGTTTCATTATTAGTCATCACACTTCTACACAACGTCACCTTCAGACCCTTAATATATCGAGAAAATCACAAAAATACAAAAACTAGATAAAAAAGTTTAACAAAATATTTTATTTACATAAACGACCTCACATTTTGTTATGGTATCATGTATAATCACATTTTGCTATGAATTTCACTTTTTGATGATTCCTTACCATAAAATAAGTAATAATTATGAAAATCATGCATGTTTCATAAATTGCGAAATATATGATTTTTCATCGAATTTCTTTTTAAATACATTTTGCGATGCGGAGAATAGTAAAAGTAATTTTTCACAGCATCACAGTGATCTTTATTCCCATCAGCTCTACATCTACTCAAAAAGCAAATATTCATAAACAAACAAAATAATCGAGATAGATTGTCACTTTTTAGATGATGCAATTATCGATGGCTTGATAGCTCTAGCTTATGGGTATAAGGTATACTTCGACTCAGGGCGGACACTTGCATTTTCGAAGGTGCAATTTATTAACTTTAGACCCTAAAATTAATAATATGTACAAAAAGACCCACTTTAGGATGGTAAAATAAACAAAAGATGAGTTTATACTTCAAAGAAGTCTAGATATCGACAAAATCATGAATATTATCAAAAACTTTATTATATACTTATTATATAAAATGATCGACCGATTTCCAAAAGGTTTTGCTTGATTAAAGAAAGGGTACATTTAAAATTAAAAAATAACAAATAATGCATATACCCTTCTCTTTTTGTCGAACGAAGGGGCAAGGACTCTTAATTAATAAGTTAGAAAAAAACTTTAAGAAAACTGTATAAATGATCCTTATGCTTTCCAAAAAACGGTCATATATTCCTTAAGTTTAAAAAACCTCGTAGATGGTCCTTATAGTTTTAAAACTTTTAACAAAAGGTCCTTATTTGCTCATTCCGTCAAATTTTGTCCATTAACAAAGGGTATTTCCGTCATTTCACTACCACAATGACCATTCATGAAGTTATGTCTTACTCTCTCCGTCCCAAAATTATAGTCCATCTTTCCTTTTTGGTTTGTCCTAAAATAATAGTCCACTTCTAAAAATAAATAACATATTTACCAAAATATTCTTCATTATTACTTAACCAACTAAGCATTAAATGTAAAGTAAAAACTCTTATTTTATTGTATAAAGTTAGTGGTAATTAATGTTTCCTTAATTTCTGTGTTTTTTTGTCTGTAGACAATAATTTTGAAACAGGAAGATATATATATATATATATATATATATATATATATATATATATATATATATATATATATATATAGAGAGAGAGAGAGAGAGAGAGAGTAAATTACACTAATCGTCCCTCGTGCAAGTGCCAAAATACACGTTCAGTCTCTATTTTTAAAAATTAACTCGGACCGTCCCTGAATAAAAGTTTTTTTTACTTTGACCGTCCCTACAAACATAAAATAACTATTTTACCCTTAATAATTTCTTTTACAATGTTATTTAATTATTTATCATTTTTAAATTAAAATATATATATATTGACACAAACCCGCCCATTCCTCCCTTTCCCAGATTCGCATCCCTCTCATTCACACATCCATTCGTCTTCATCTCCATCAATCAAATAAACTCCCCTTCCGACGACCCCTAAACCTCTCACTACCACCGCCTAATATGTTTGCCGGCAACCCTGAAGCCACTCCGATGAGATCATGAAACCGAAGGTTCTACTTCCACCTTCGGCCACCATCCGATTTGGAAACCTTCACCATCTGAAACCAAATTTATCTATGACACTCATGCCAGAACGAGATTTGCAGGTTCCTGATGCATCATCGTCGCCTATCTACTTCTCGATTTCATACCGAAGATGATGGTTTCACTAGATTTGAAGGTTTTGGGTTCATAAATACCCAAAATCGACCCCCACTGGAATTGAATCAAGAAAAATCCCTAAAGCCGATGGTTTCAAAATTTGATGCTTTACTCGAGGTTCCAGCACATCGAAGACGAAAAAAGAATGTCCCTTATTTTGTTTTCGATGCTTTAATCGGATTTCCAGAAGTTGATTCTTTAATAGGGTTTCAAAACATGGTGATTTATATACGAGGAATTTGCTTTATTATTATTGATGCATTAACTGGATCTTAGTGTTTGAATTAGATCTGATGAATGAAGAAGGGTGCAGACTGTCGAATGGTTGTGACAGGTGGTGTAAAGTTTGATTGTGTCGACTGTGATGGGGAAGACGATGAACACGGTACAACTGGTGAGGTGAGGGTAGATGGCGAGGGGTAGCGGTGGTGCTCCATTTCCAGAAGTGGTGCAGATTACCGGTTATGGTGGTGGTTAAGTGTGATGGTTTCAATAGATTTGAAGTTTTTTTTCTGGACTGGTTTTCGAAATTAAGTTTAATTAAGGTTTGATTTCTAGGTTTTGTTTGGATTTTGATTTATTTGAGATTTGAATTTCATTTGGATTTGATGTCACCAGTTAGTGGTGTTGGTTTGCCGGTGGTTGTTAAAGATGGAGAGAGAGAGAGAGAGAGAGAGAGAGAGAGAGAAGATTTCCAGTGTAGTGGTTTTGCATGTTTCTGATGGTGGCGTAGATTTCCGGTGTGGTGGTAGTGATTAAGTGTTCTTCAACAGGTGTGTGTGTGTGAGAGAGAGAGAGATTTCCTGATAAAAATAATTTTTAATAATAATAATAATAATAATAATAAATGTAAAAAATAAATTAAAAAGAAATTAAAAAGGGCATTATAGTCATTTCATGTCTCACAAGGGATGAAACCTGCAAATTCAAACTAACAATTGATGAAGCGTGAAACTTGTTACGATATGAAAGATGGTCCGAGTTAATTTTTGAAAATAGGGATTAATCGTGTATTTTGACACTTGAATGAGGGACGATTCGTGTAATATATATATATATATATATATATATATATATATATATATATATATATATATATATATATATATATATATATATATATATATATATATACTAGCTACTTACCCGCACAATGCAGCGGGGCTATTAGTTTCATTCGTCAAATAGTTTCAAACAGACTATTTTTTTTTGGCACACTATTTCTAGTTTAAAAGAAAAATACATTGCTTTAGGTTACAAGCAATTCCATTTTGATGGTTTTTGGCATATACAACGAACAAATTATATTTGTTTGCAGTGAAGAACCGTTTTACCCTTGTGTGTGAAGCTACCTAAAAATTATTCTTTCATTAGATAATTTTTAAATATCAAAATTCTCAATTACATAATTTCAAATAACATTTTGTTGTTAGGTAGTCTATATAATCGGTTAACAAAATTTCCCATTCAAATTCTCAATTAGCAATCACCATAACTACACCAAACTAATAAACAGAGTGTATAACAGTTTTGCATCCAAACATATTTTATATTTAAAAAATTGTGAGGACAAGATATAACCGTTTTGGTCATAAACTAAAAGTCATTATAGATATCTCACTATTACTCATTAAATAATGTCATACTAAACGTGATATTTATTTGAATCATATTGACTATTACTCATTAAATAATATCATTTTTTTTCTGGTTCTTATGCATTGCAAGTCTCATTTAGCTATCGAACACATAATATCTGTTGAACTACCAATCATTATAACTACACTTTCATCCTACAACTTGTGTTCATCAATCAACTTTCAGGACAGAAAGAAAGTAAAAATGGAGTCAAGAAATTTCAATCAAATCCCACAAAATTTCCAAGAATTGCAATAACATTTGGTATCAAGAAACACCAAGCAAACAAGCAAGAAAATAACTTGAATGAATATAAACAAACAAACAAATCAAGAAAGTGGAGAAGTTGCATCATCTTGGACAGGTGGCGGATCAAGGAGTCTGAGTGTTCTTGGAAGCATGAATTCAACAAAGATTGGATAATGAGAATACGGATATTGACCATCAATATTATCATTCACAACTTCACATGAAATAGGCACCAATGATCTTCCTCTAAACATGATCCAATCTACATGCAAATCTTGAGTTTGTCGATCCCAACACAGGCAAAGTGCACGAAAAATCAACATAAAGAACTCAACAGCTCCTTGTTTGTTGCCTACAATATGAAGCTTTATATGTTTATAAAGATAGAAGGGTAAGATGGTCATTTTCTCACATTTAGAGACTTCGTTCGGTCTAGACACAAAAGTCTTTGTGCGTACAGAAACATACTCCTTGGGTTGACTTAGGTGTAGTTTCTTTTTTACTTTACGAGGAAAGAAGGGTAAAATGGTCATTTTGCTCACATCCAGATGGTTCATCCCCGTCCCAAAAAGAAACAGTCTTTGCATACAGGACTTACTCCACAGTTGACTTAGGTGTTTGTTTCTTTTTAATTTAATGGACTTAATGATGACAAAAGGGTAAAATGGTCATTTCCTCACTTAATAGTAAAAAGAAAGAAAAATGGGAGTTGAGATTGATATAAATAATAAAGAAAAATATATGATGCCTTTAAATCCATGAAAGGTGCGTACAAGTGACACATTTTTCCTCAATCGGGCATTAGGCCATGCATCTTTCATATCACCTACCTAAACAAAGGGAAAAATGTTAGTTCTTTGACTTTTTTGAAGTGAAACTAAAAAGGTAATATGGATTTTCTTAAATATTTGAAGGGTTAAAGGCAAGAAATAGTAATGTACTTTTTTTGATTGACTTATTATAGCTATCTATTTTCATTTTCTTTATAAGATTGTACTTTGAAGAATCTACGCAGTTATAACAATGTCATCCAAATACAAAGCAATTTTCACAGCTAAATTGGTAGATTCTTCCATTACATTCTTTATCCCATTACTCTACCTATTCCATTCCTTTGCCATTCTGTTCCATTCCATTCCTTTGTCATTCCATTCCATTCCATCCAACCAAACAGACTTTAAATAAGGTATAATTACCTTGATCTCCCCAAAAAAAATCGTCCTAGGGTTGACTCTTTTTGTGTATTAAAACCTCCACAATATACAACTGGCAAGCTAGGAGGTAATGAAGCAATATGCTGCCACATCAGCAATGCACTTCGCCTATGAGCACGAGGACTAAATTCGTCCATGTTTGTATTCACTATTTGGAATGAAAAACCAGGCGGCTCTACTCCTTTCATTTGAAAGGTGTAGAGATTTTTTTGTTAAAGAAACGAATGAAGTAAAAAAACATTTATTCAAATGTTTTTCAAGATTTAATCGTCATTATAATATTTATATTATATGCTCGAAAAGGATATTGCCCATGTGGCTATGGAAGGAGATTCACTCCCCCATGACATGCTTCCAAGAACAGAAGGAGATTCTGATAACCAAAATGTTCCTCCTTCTAATAACTCCACCTTTTTTATAAAAGAAAATATGAGAGAAAAAATTTAATAATAATAAACAAAAGTAGAGATATTAAGCAATTATGTGAAAGTAGTACCCAAAGTATTTTTTTTCCTTGTCATAGAAAATGGTGCAATACTAATCTGAAACATCTTTGGATCCTTTTCTTGAAATCCCAAATTGCTCATACCCTTGTATGTTTAACAACAATTTATGAGTGCAAATTTGTAAAAAGTTAGGGCTTAATGGAAAAAGTGCCATTTCTCTGGCTTTCTCTAATAAGCAAACACCACACTATCACAATCAATTTGGAAAAATCATAGTTAAAAGATTAGAGATTAGATTGATTAAGAATTTTAAGCTATAAATGGGGATTGATTTCAACTATATGCAAAAACTGCAGAATTTAAAAATTTGTATAAATATCAAATTAAGATAAAACAGTAATCAAAATGTAACTGGAAGTATTACCTCGCAAGCATTGTTGAAGATACTCCAATTGAGATTTCACACCTACGAATTCAAAAAGAAACAATTTCAAAAAATTCGTAGAAACAAACCCCATTTCGAAATCAAAAATCAATCAAGACCAACATAATCAATCATATTTCAAAATCGAACGAATCAAGAACATGTATTTTAAAGATCTGCAACATACATAAACAAACGAAGGAGCTCACCTTGTCAATAGTCCAATATCTTCCCCAAACTTTTCCTGATTTTAAGATTTGTTTGACCATCTACATTTGCAGTATGATACATAAAAGAATAAAAGAGATAAAGTTAGTAAATTATGGTTTCATGTATCATACAACATAAAGTTGATATTAAGAGACCTTGGTTTAACAGACACCATCAATTTTTATACTTTCAGGGAGTAGCAAATAAACTGGAATGAAGGTGTCATGCTTGACCTGAAACAACATAAAAATTAAATTTGCATCGACTCTAATAATAAATGTGAGAAAAATATGATTTGTAAGTATCATAAAGAACCATTCCAAGGGGGCTCACTCTGTGAAGAAGGAACGACACCATTAATGTGGGATAACACTACTTTCGTTGACCTTTGAGACCCTAATACACAATCTTAACTGGTTCTAATTTCTCCCAATTTATTATTGTCTTTCAAGGAACAGGCCTGGTTCAAGCATTTCATCAAGCAGCTGGGGTGCATAGTGAAACTCTCTTTTAAATCTTAATATCTTTTAAATCTTAATATCAAGTGGTTGGGGTATAATCGATCTTCTTCATGGGTGACTTGGACATACGGATCACATTCCCTACACAAATAAAGACAAAACAAAATATAGAAAAGTCAAAAAAATTCACCAGGAATACGAACAACAAAATCAGATGAAAAGAATTTGATGACAATATGTAAACCTGAGTTGGTACATGGAACGAATTTGATAAAAGGGTGCACGCCACCTATGTTTCAGAAAATAGGAATTACAAAACATATATAAATCCGTTCACGAAAATAGTCCATTTTAAGTTAGAAACAGTAATTAGGGAGAAGTTGTAAATGAACCGAGAGAAAATTAGATAGATGCACTTGTTATTCTTCAACATCATGTTACATAATTAGGGTTAGGGAGATGTACATGTTTAAATTCATGAATAGAAATATGTAGATAGTTAGATACATACGTTAATCAATATGAAGGTAGTAGACTTACTAATAGTGACTGTGTCTCCCCGGTAGTGCCATTAGTGGTTCCTATTGATTGAATCTGTGTGAGAATAATCTAACCTGACATCGATCAAAACAAAAGAGTTAGCCTGAGTGACAACGGTCTGTATTTATGTGTGGTGGTCGTCCTCTACATCTTCTGCAAGTGGGAGTTGGTCACCAATTGAGAGAATTTAGAATTTTAGGGTTTTAATTGGCTGGGAGAGGAGATGCGTTTATATAACATG